GCTACGCACGCGGTGGGTTTAAGCTTTCGCAGCAAAACGGTCTGTTGACAGACTGATTAGTGTTGGTTGACCTAGGTTTGATCGAACGAACGTACGCCCAAGGGGCGTACTAAGAGGTGAGCAGGCAAAGATCTTCTTGTTATTGACTACTGCCCTCTCTCTTCGTACGAAGAAAGAGGGCTCTTAAGTACACATAGCCCCTAACGCACAGGCCAGATAGCCAACGTTTCAGGCAACCTAATTCAGCCGTACGCGTGTACGGACACAGCTGTACTTACGTACGGACAGTATACCTTATTTAACTCTTAAGTATTAATACTACAGACGCGCGTATTAACTACTTACACCCTCTAACAGCTAGAAGCTTACCTCTACTAAAAAAAGACAGTTATTTAATACATTTTTAACTTTAACACATAAGGTTTTACACTTTTAAAGGCTAAAGTTAGAGATATAGCAAATAAGATACTAGCTAAGTATAGTGTAAAGCTAGTAGGTAAAAACTAAGTAAATAAGTTTATAGCATTTAATTATATAAAAAACATTTAAAGAATTAAGTAAAAAGATTCTAAAATTATAAGCGCGTAGTTTAAGTGTAAGGACGGGGCTCCGCACCACTTCGCTAATACAACTAAAAGGTATAAATAATCAACTAACGTTGATTTTTAGGTCTAGAATAGTATATATACCTGTCGCACGTAAGCGCCATCTTAGCCTTACATTATCCCCCTTTTTAGCAGACGCATGTCCCAGGCGTCACATGACCTATCCGCAGCTTAGAGGCGCTACGCGCATGTCTTAGTTACTAGCTAGAGGCTAACCACCTGTAGCCTAGAGGCGCAGGATAAATAACAACACAACGCTTAGTAGCCCACGCCAGCTAAGCTATATACACTAGACCTCCTAGCAGCTACAACGTAGCGCTAGAAGAGGCTGCCTCACGTTTTAGTCTAAAAACTAGCTAAGCTGTCTAAGGTGTAGGTTAAACGCGTAACTGTCCTTGTTATTAGTTAATTATTATATAAAAATAGGGCTCTACACTACTCTGCTAATATAACTAAAAGGTATAAATAATTAACTAACGTTAATTTTTAGGTGCAGAATAGTATATATACCTGTCGCACGTAAGCGCCATCTTAGCCTTACATTAAGCTTGTAAAAAAGACAATAGCTAAGTATAGTGTCTATAATAATAATATGCACAACTTTAATAAAACTAGCTTTTAAATAAAAGTTATTATAAGCTTAAAAAAGTGTGTAAGGCTTAATCTTATCTAGCTAGGTAATTAGAAGTAGGTAACTGTTATTTAGAGTATCTACGCTATAAGGTATGTAATTCTGCCCTTTATTATTTATAAAGAACACATCTACATCTTAGCGTAGTATAAGAAGGCTAATATACCTTATAATTAAAAGCTTTTAGTTTTTAATAATAAATAGATAAATAATAAGCTTAAAGTTACATAGTTAAAGCACTTTAACGCGTATATAAGAATGTGTTAGGTAAGAGTGTATTAACTACTTATCTTAGACAGTTATAAAAGCTATTAATCTTAGAATTTTAAAGACTACTGCCTAAAATATAAGATTTTTACACTTTATATACCTACTTACTTGTTACATATCTTCTAGCTTTTAGATGTAACGTACTTTACAGGCGAGTTGCTTACACACCTAAGTTGCTTACTTTTACTAAGACCCTACTAAACTACCCTTCCTACACTAATGCATTCCCTACAACACTACTTAGACGCGCTAAAAGAATGTTAGATACAGCTTACGCTCTAAGCTTTTAAATAAGACATAAAACTCTTAAAGAAATATGCTGCAGCTTGTTAGATATGCGCACCTACTGTTAAGACAGGAGGAACGCTTGACGAAAGCTGCTACATAGTACGAGCAATAAGCTCGAACAGTATGTTGCTGCAAATTGCTGCATGTTGCAGCAAATTGCAGCATTTTGCAGCATTTTGCAGCATGGTGCAAGCTGGTTGTCACGATTGTGCACGAGTAAGGTTATAGAGCTTCACGGAGGTCTAGTTCAATTACTACGTGAGGTATCATGGTAGGTACAAGACGTTGTGTGAGGAACAGGAAGGTTTAGAAGGAAATTAGTAATTAAATACTTAGCTTAGAAGTCTAAGCGCTTTAGGTATAAATTAAGCCTATTTTAAGTTTAGTTAGTGTTAAAGCAGTTTATGCTTAAGTTTATGTCTATGTTGTGTTATGTTTGTGTTAGACGTGCACTAATAATACTCTAGTACGCGTCTAATATAGTTATGTCTAGGATCTAGGGAGAATACTGTGACAGTACCCCCTCTCTTATTAGAAAGGGAATCCTTTATATTAGTAGTTCTAGCATTAGGTTGTCTTTGTTAGGGTACAGGTTTAGTTTAGATAGGTATTAGGCGTGGAATTAGGTTACTGTAGAGTTCTCTTGCAGGGCTTCTGCAGGTTCCTATAACAGTTTGTTGTATCTAGTCTATTTTATAAGGTATTTATAGATATGTTTCTTCCTGTTAAACTAAATCTATTTAATGTCTTCTATAACATATTCTAGTTTATTATTTATAATAACAGGATTAGGTAGCAGGTTTAGCTGTCTAGGTAGATAGTTAGATTTAGGGGCTGCTTAGCGCAGCAATAATACGTAGAACACAGGGTGTATCTTTATGCTGTTAGGTAGGATTAATTAGTAAGCGTGTAATAAGACTATATAGGCTACTATAAAGGGGCTAAAGTTCTTTTAATTAAGTTTTTTTAATTATTAGTTTATTTAGATATTTCTAGTGTCTAGCTAGACCTTCTTGCTAGGTGCATACACAGGGGTAGAAGTTTAAGATTAGTTTATGTACTCTTATTAAAAAGCTTAAGCCTATGTAAGCTTTTTATAAATGTATTTAAATATATTTTAGATTTTATTAATAAGTCTATTTATATCTATTACTTATATAAATTAATAAGTTAGTTAAGGAGTATTTAAAAGTAGTTTAAATTTTATTTAAAGGTAGTATCTATAGTTTACTAAAAATAAAGATACTTATGTTAATTTAGATGTTATGTTATTAGCTTTAAACTATGCTATAGCTAACTATTTTACCTAGTTATCCTACTAGTAGTTTATGTACGCTTATAAGACTTATTTTATTACAGCATTTATGTTTTTAGTCTAGCTATTAGTCTCTAGGTAAAAAGCTATAGATAAATAGAGGATAATTTAAAGCTATTTACAGAGTTTGTTTTAAAAGGCTAAGACAAACTATGTACCTCTGTCTAATATAATTATGTTAGGTAGGCTATAGTAAACTTATACATATTAGTAGAATAACTAGGCTATATTAGAGGTAGTTATAAAGAAATATAGTATTAAGTGTTAATACTTAGTTAAGTAATTAACAACTACTATAATATTTATATACTTTTTAGATAAAGGTAGGTCTATAATAAAATTAATTAATATGTTTTTCTAAGCTTATTTAAGAATTAGAAGTAGTTTAAGTAAGCTATTATACCTTTTTTAAAAGGCCTTTACTTTACAGCAAGTATAGCAACATAATACGTATTAGCGTACAGTATAGAACATGCGGGGCTAGTAGTACTCTCTCTATAGTAGGTTAAGAGTCTTTCCTCTGCCTAGGTGTCCTCTAACAGGTAAGTTATGTATAATTTAGAGTAGTTTAATTCTTAGTTTATTAAAATTAGAGATTATAAGTTAGTTATAGTAATACAGCTTACTATTTTAGTTTTTATAGTGAGCTAGTGTTACCTTCTTTAACTAACTAGCGCTATTTTAAAGCAGGTCTAAAGTTTTTTAGATAAATTTATTATTTAAATACTTATTAGTAATAATCTAATTAATTATCTAATTTATTTTATTTAAGTTAAAGTCTAAAAATAGCTTAAGTTAAAGTAAAGTTTAGTGTTAAGCCTTTTACACTTTTTTCTAAGTAGAGATGTTTTAGAATTGCCTTATAAAGGCATCTAGTTTCCCTTTATCTTAACTAGAATAATAAGTAATCTTAAAATTAAAATAAAATAAGTATTTAAACTAATAGGCTTATTAGTAGCTAAGTTGTTTTATAGTTACAAAGTACTATAAGTTCTTATAGTTAAATAAAACCTGTATTAGATGCGCTGCACCTTCTAGTTTAGGTTACTATTATTTAAAGTAGTATACTATAGTAAGTAATTTTTTATTATAGATCTTATAATTACCTTCTACAAGACTTATTCTTTTTAAAAAGTATATAATAGGCCTAATAGTCCTGTCTAGCTTAGT